CCTTGAGTGGCAGTACGAGTATATCGATCGCGTAATTAAACGACGAAAACAACACGGCGACGACGCGCGACGCGTCATTCGTGTGCACGCGTACAGGGAAAGAATGCCGCACCCGGGCGCGGCGGCAGCGTTCGCGATGAACGAACGAGGTAGAAAGCGAGGTAGCACGTGGTTGACACTGTTCGCTACGACAGTGGTGGTGGTGGCGGTGGCGGCGTCCGCGGCGGCGGCGATGAACTGAAGAAACCGGTCGCGCGACATTCCAAACCGACACCAACCTGGATATTTTCCGATCTTCCCTCCTTTGGTGGCGCGGTCGCTCGGTCGGTCGCGCACGCAGGCAAGCGGCGCGACAAATTGTTCACCGCCGAACTCACATCACGCCGGCGAACTTGATTACACTTTGCTTCAAAACAAAACTGGGGGGACAACAGGGCACGGGGCTCCCTGATTTGCAGTCATTTCCGGCCAAGTCCGCCAGTCAAACAACGCAAAAAAATATTACGGCAAATTTTTTAAACGGTTTTACCAGAAAATCGGCGACACAACTAACTTCCGCATTTTCGCTATCCATCCGGTGGGTGCGTCGTTGCGCTGTGTGCAACTGACAGTTTTTCGTTCGTTGAAGTGAAATATCCGTCCCCGCCATGGGTCATTCCTGTGATCATTATTTGTTCGTTCTGTATTTACGGTAATCCCCCAGAACGAACACCCGAAAGTTTGGTTCATTGAATAATTTAGTTCAGTTTTCGCGCTTAAATGTTTATCTATATGTCAGTAATTCTGTGTAGTAAACCGTAAAGAATAATCACGGATGTTTGCTCATAACATCTGACAACATCGCGGCATAAGAAACCATAAATCTTTATAAAACCAATCAAAATATTCCACTGATGCGCGTATATCGTAATATTCAAAAATACTTCGATAGCCTACCTATATTCGGCTAGAGGGCTACCTCCGCTAGATAGGACTTTGGAATGACTAGCGCGATTTAGTAGCTAGCCAGTGGTGTGAAACCCCTTCGTATGGTCGACGACTTAACGATAATTTGTAATAATGGTCGTGCCTAAAATATGTTAAAATCTGAGGTCGAACAATGGCCAACATCGCATGCTTGAGCATGTTGTGAACCACATGAACTATGCACACCAAAACATAGTTTACAAACTATAGTATAACTGAAAGACTAACTGAAAGTATAACTTCAGTGCTCCTTAGAAAGGTTCGCAGCCGAGTGCGACGTGACCGGCATGCGTGTGAACGCATATAAAACGTAAAGCCTAGTGCTTTCTCGTTCTCCTGCCCGTTGCTCTCTTCAGATTAACGGAGAGGCAGTG